AAATGATATATTTTTTTAGATATAAAAACAATACACAGTAAAAAATCGTGCGTCCATATGTTGAAATTTTCTTGTGTTATTAAGATTTGATTATTATTTCAATGTAAAATTAACATACAACAACTATGTTATTATTTTCGTAACATTTTCATGTGTTATATTTATGTCAACGTGATAACTTAACACTTTATGTATGTTATTTAAAAATTAAATATTATTTTGAGTTTTTTTAACATAATTATTTCAAAAAATCAACACGTTTTAAAGTTATTTTAACATAAACAAAAGTTAAAGTAAATCTTCAAATAATCGTAAACTTTGACATACAAAATAATCAAATTTACTAAAATCAAATGCTTTTATTACACATTTTAAGTTAAAATAATAAATATTATGTGTTAATATAACTTAAAATAAAATGTATTAATATACACTTCGTAAGAGTTACATTAAATGTATTACACAAGAAACTAAAATATTAACAAGTAAAATATTAAAAACAACATTTCTCTTAAGTTGATGAAATAACTATCGTTTATTCAAATGCTGGCCAATCAGCAGAGACCGCTAGGAGCGCAAACCTCGCAGGCTTGCAGTGCTCGCACGGTTAGGCAATCCCTTTTTGAGACAAATAAAGCAAGGGAACAAAATTCGTATCGCGGACAAGCTTTAGAGAGAAAGGAGGAGAATCGAGCTAATCGATTGACGCAGAGTTCTTCGGTTTCCGCTCGCCGTGGATCAAAGTGACCTGCGAAAGTGTCGCATTTAAGATTGTCAATTTTTTATATTTATATTTTATTGTTTTTTAAGAATCTTTTTATAATCCAAATACTAAAACAGGCTATTTAGCAAATAGGCTCTCCAATGTAAGAAGAGGTGCAAAAAAAGAAAGACGTGTAATAAAAATTCGGAAAATAATAGAAGCCAATCAAACATTAACATTACAGAAGATGAAAATGAGAAATTAACACAAGACGAAATTGAGGATGCAATACTTTTTCTCAAAAGTGCCACTAAAAATGAAAAATTACAAATAATAAAAATTATTTCCAAACAGAAAGATACATTTCAATACAGAAAAAAATTTTGTTTGAATATAAATCTTTTCGATACATTTCCAAAATTTTTAGATACATCTGAATTGGTAAGTCAGTAATTTAACTAAATTTAACTGTAACGTTTAACTTAAATTTAACTGTAATATTTAACTTAAATTTTAACTGTAATATGTTTTTATTTACTCTAAAAAAATGATTAAATCATCAAATATTATTTTTATTTGTACTTATGTTAGGTGCATATGTTTTGTACATTTTTCTGCAATAAAATTAATAAGAGTAGGGGAGACCGGGGCTAGACCGCTAACGGGGTAAATCCGCAAAATCAAATATCTCGGAACCTGTATATTGTGCGAACTCGCTATTAACATTGTAAACGCTGCTTATGGTACCCATGTGCCAACGGAGTTTCGGCAGGTTATCTGCCGTGTTATGATTTTTACAAGGGCAAACGTGTTTTCGGAAGGTAAAAGTGAAATTTTCTGCGCGTGAAAATATTGTAATATCTGCAATAATATTTGCTCTCCAAATCTCGAGATACGTGATTATAAAAAGTAATGCATGCTGAACACGAATCCAGTGTAGTTTTTTCATTATCGTTAATGTCTAATATTTCGTGGGCAATCAAACCTGAAACTTATGTTTGGGGCTTATCCGCTAGTGAGCACCCGGGGTTGGTCCGCTAGTCTCGTCACTGTGGCGCGCCGGGCGCACGACTTCAACTCACGCCGCTCACGGCGATTTCAGGTTAGGTTTCCCTCGAGCGGCGTGATTCTGTCTTCTCTTGCATGTGCGTCAGTTTGTATAGGAAGGAAATGGTACGTACGTATCGTCGCAAAACGGGTGTTTTGGCCAACCGAAAAGATAGCGGACCGTTGTTTTCGAGATCGCTCGCGCTCACGGCACGACGGCGAGACACACGGCTCTGAGATTCCGCGATTTCCGCGCGAGAGTTGACATGCCGCGCGCGTGGTAGATCGTCCCGGCCGCGGTAGATCGTCGTTGTTGGTCGTTGTGTCAGTGTCAGTGTAGTGGTGGTGGTCGTAGCCGTTGTCGTTGTCGTCGTCGTCGTCGTCGTCGTCGTCGTCGTGGTGTTGGTCGTGGCCGTCATCGTCGTCGTCGTGGTAATGGTGGTGGTGGTGGTCGTGGCCGTCGTCGTCGTCGTCGTCGTCGTCGTCGTCGTCGTCGTCGTCGTCGTCGTGGTGGTGGTCGTGGCCGTCGTCATCGTCGTCGTGCACTCGTCAGGATCTATATTCACATGCCTAAATTGTTTTATGGAATAGGTAAAACAATTATTTTTTAATGTTTCGCATAAAAATTTGAAATCAATTTTTATTTTTCTCTTAAAAAACAATTATTAAAATGTATCCTATCATTTTTTAGGATTAGATGTACGTATATGTATTGAAAATGCAGTGTAACGGATTT